CAAATTCAAGGCTATTGGCAAAATAGAGGGGCTGGAGAACGCAATTACAACTTGAATGCAAACTCTTAAGGAGACTCGAATCAAGCAGAGTTTTTAAAAAGGACTGATTTTGGCTGGGCGCGGTGGCTCACACCTGTAATCCCAGCACTTTGGGAAGCTGAGGCGGGCGGATCACGAGGTCAGGAGATCGAGACCACCCTGGCTAACATGGTGAAACCCCATCTCTACTAAAAATACAAAAAACTAGCCGGGTGAGGTGGCGGGCGCCTGTAGTCCCAGCTGCTTCGGAGGCTGACGGAGGAGAATGGCATGAACCCGGAGGCAGAGCTTGCATGAGCAGTAGAATTCGCACCACTGCAGCTCACTGGCCACAAAGCAAGGACTCCGTCTTAAAAAAAAAAAAAAGACCTGGATTCTTTAGAATTTAAAATATGTCATTGTACTAGTGAAGGAGAAGAAAATTACTCTTGAGATTCAAATTTGCAGCCTGGAAGGTCAAGAAGAAATATTAAACCACCTCCAAAGCAAAAAGTACACCAAGAAGGAAATAAAGAGGCCAAAGATAAACGAGGGAACCCAGTCAGGAGTGCTCATATGCAAAGGAAAGAAAAGGTGGTGAAAGAAACAATAATCAAGCAACAGGACGGGCACGGTGGCTCACGCCTGTAATCCCAGAACTTTGGGAGGCGGAGGCAGGCAGACTACTTGAGTCCAGAAATTTAAGACCAGCCCGGGCAACGTGGCGAAACCTTGTCTCTCCAAAAACTACAAACAAAATTAGCTGGGCGTGGTGGCGGGTGCCTGTATTCCCAGCTTCTCAGAAGGCTGAGGTGGAAGGATCACTTGAACCCAGGAGGTCGAGGCTGCAGTGAGCTGTGATGGTGCCACAGCACTCCAGCCTGAGTGGCAGAGTAAGACCCTGTCTCAAAAAAATAAAAAATAAAGAAACAAGAATCAAATCAAGCAACAAATAGATGTTCCTAAGCTGAAAAAAGACCGGAGTCTACAGAGTGACAGGTTCTGTAACTTCCAGATGAGGGTGCTGAGAAAAGAATCCCTATTGAGGCATGTGCTAAAGAATATGTGTTTGATTAGGAACCCCAGAGAAGAGACAACTGCCAGTAATGAAATGCAAAGTGTAACAGGAAGAAAAAGGAAATGGATAACCAGATCAGAGGGAAAAAATGGCAAGGTAAACCAATAAATGTAAAACAAGCCAAAGGTAATCAAATCAAGTACAGTAGATCAATTGTTAAACGAAATGTGAACAGATTGAATTCTCCCACTAAAAGACAAAGAGTCAGCTTGGGTTTAAAAATGCAGTGATAGGCTGGGCGCAGTGGCTCACACCTGTAATCCCAGTACTTTGGGAGGGTGAGGCAGGTGGATCACCTGAGGTCAGGAGTTTGAGACCAGCCTGACCAATGTGGTGAAACCCTGTCTCTACTAAAAATACAAAAATTACTTGGATGTGGTGGCGTGTGCCTGTAATCCCAGTTAATCAGGAGGTGGAGGCGAGAGAATCACTTGAACCTAGGAGGTGGAGGCTGCAGTGAGCTGAGATCGTACCACTGCACGCCAGGCTGAGTGACAGAGGAAGACTCCATCTCAAAAAACATACAAACAAAAAAACCATGAAAATAACAAAAATACAGTGGTGATGGGCAATATGAAGAAACTCCATCTCTACAAAAAATACCAAACAAACAAAAAAAATTAGCTGGGCATGGTGGCATGCCGGCCTGTGGTCCCAGGTTCTCAGGGTGCTGAGGCGGGAGAATTGCCTCAGCTAGGGAGGCTGACGCTGCAGGGAGCCATGATCACACCACTGCACTCCAGCCTGGGCAACAGAGGCAGACCCTGTCTCAAACAAAACAAAACAGTGATGTGACATATGCAAGGAATTAGTAGTTTCAAAAAATGATAATGGTAGAAAATAAAATAATGCTAAGCAAGTGCAAAAAAAGGATAAAGTAAAATAAGAAGTGGTCATATTAACAATAGAAGGGCGAAATTTAAGGCTAAGCACTATAATAGGATAAAGAGGGACACTGTGTAATGATAGAAAAGCACAATTTGTACTGACAGAACACTTTAAATCTGCATGCTCCCGACAGCACTGTAGTTAAATATAAAAAGCAAAAACTAGGAAAAGCACCAGAAGAGCTTTATAGAGAAAATTTGAGAGGAAGGTTTAACAAAACACATATCTATCAGAATTAGAGTAAAAGATCCCTGCCCCCAAGCAAAGGATACGAAGGAAATGAAAGTTTGAATAATATAATCAATAAACTTGATTTAATGCAGATAGTACCTTATATCCCTTAAATAGAAAATATGCATTTTTCCGGCCAGGTGTGGTGGTGCACACCTGTAATCCCAGCACTTTGGGAGGCTGAGGCGGGTGGATCACTTGAGGTCAGGAGTTCCAGACCAACCTGGCCAACATGGCAAAATCCCCTCTCTACTAAAAATATAAAAATTAGCCAGGCATGGTGGCACATACCGATAATCCCAGCTACTCATAGGCTGAGGCAAGAGAATCGCTTGAACCCAGGAGGTGGAGGTTACAGTGAGCTGAGACCACGCCACTGCATTCCAGCCTGGGCGGCAGAGTAAGACTCCATCTCAAAAAAATAAATTAAAATTAAAATCAAAAAAGAAAATATGCATTTTTCTTACATGTCTATGAAAAACTTAGAAAAATCATTTACTTGGTCACAAAGAAATTCATAATAAATTTTAAAAGTGGAGAGTTTACACATCTGGAGAAAATGAATGCTTTCCTAGTAAAATATAAAATGGCCAAAATTAACCAGAAGGTGAGTAGAAACTTAAATAAACTAATTACCACTGATGAGAAAAAAAATCTGAAAAAGGCACCAGGTCCAGAGGGTTTCATGAGAGGGAACTGTAGAAACCTTTTGAATTCATCTCTGCCAACATCTTCCTCCTCCAGGAAGCACTCCTGGATTTCTCTCTTGCCAACAAGATTCTGGGAGGGTGGCTCCTCCAACATGCCCCCAACAGCTCTTTGCAGACGAGTCATATCATATCATATCTGCCATACCATAACTGCCATGCCATACCATATCATAACTGAATCTGCTATTCAATTTCTCCTGGACAGTAAGCTACCTGAGGGCAGGAACCATCCTTTATTTTTCATTGCTCCCTAGTCACCAGTACAGCAGCTGACATTCACTGACTAGGTGAATACGGTAAATGAAAAAGCAGAAGGCACAATCGTCATTACTCTGTGATGTCTCTACAGGAGATGCCTGACATACTCATAAGAAGGCAGAATAAATGGGAAGAAACCAACATGCTAACAGTCATTCAATTGAGATTTCCTTCTACTATTCAAATATTTGTAATGGAGTTAAGTGATTTTTATAGGGAGGGAATAGTAATTTACACATTTAACTGGGCCAAAGAGGAGAAAAGAAGGGGGAGGCTGGGAGGATTCTGCAGGCAGGCTCTTCTGCTACCTCTGCTTCCTCTCTCTGGCTCAGTCCCTAGACAGACATGGAAGCCTGGACAGGGGCCCCTGCCCCCCTCCCTTCATGCCTCACAGGGGACCCCCAGCCAGGAGAAGGCGAGGAGGCAGGGTGGGCACCCGCAGGAGCCTGGGCTGGACAGAAAGATCCTGCAGGCCCAGGCAACAGCTCTGGAAGTTCCCTCAACACCAGAATCCTTCCGCAATCTGGAAACACAGCTTCCCAAATTTTAGCAAGAGCACCTGTGCCCCTGTGCCCCAGAGCCCTAGTCCTGGCAGCCCTGTTTCCCCTTCAATATGAACCAACAGCCACTGACCTCTCACTCCCTGGCAAAGATCCAGCTCTGAATCTCCCCATCATTCAGGCATGGAGCCCTGGCCACATTCCTGGTTAGCAGCTGCCCCCTGGTCATGATCATGGACCTTCCCATTCCCCAGGGCCTGGCACTGACCACCCATCCAGGCTGGCATTCAGTACGATGCCCACCCCTCCCTGTACTGGACACAGTCAGCTCTAAGAGGGGCAGAGAAAATAGGTCTATGGAGCTAAGCTATGAGGACGCAAAGGCCTGAGAACGATATAATGGACTTTGGGGACTTGGGAGTGAGGGAAAGGGTGGGAGGGGGGTGAGGGATAAAAGACTACACATTGGGTACAGCGCACACCACTCGGGTGATGGGTGCACCAAAATCTCAGAAATCGCCACTAAAGAACTTATCCATGTAACCAAACACCACCTGCTCCCCAAAACCATTGAAATAAACATTACAAAAGATAGGTCTAGAGTGAGGCCAACTGCTGAGTCTTGGGAAGGAAGTGAGGGGCAGGTGGGCTTGTCCTGGGGCCCTTCTCAGGCCCCTGGGGGCTGAAGAGAGCCAGGGACTAAGAGGTAAGAACCAGGCACAGGCTCCAGCGAGACCTCAAGAAATTAGGGGGCCTGCAGGGGAGCCCGGGGGTGAGGGTGGTGGGCAGAGAGATCTCTGGCGGGACAGCAATGTGGGGTGAGGGTGGGAGGGGAACCCAAGAAGCTGCTGTCTCCTACGTCAGGTCCTGGGCAGAGGGCTCCTGGACAGCCCAGGGCTGCAGGTGAGCCGCTGGGAGGGAACTGGGTCAGGTGTAAGGAAACCGGCAGAGCCACCCCAGGGCGGCTGCCCCAGCTGGGGGGTGGGGGTGGGGGTTGCTGGAGGAGGGAGTGCGATCAAGGGGCTAGCTGGAGTCCCCTCAACTTGGCCTCAGCCTCCTGCTGTTACCAACCCCCCTTGCCAAAGGCCACCTAGCTGGCCCCGAAGGGGGACAGGTGGGGCTGTCCCAAGGCCAGTTCCTTTCTCTCAATCACAGTGGCTCCGGTTGCCCTCGGAGTTTGTCCTAGGAAGTGGGTGCGGGGCCTGGATCCAGAGAGGAGGCGCCCGCAGGTGGGTTTTAGGATTCGGGAAAGAGAGGGGAGAGTGGGGAAACTGCTGTGGCCGCCCTCTAGTCCCCCAGGGGCGAGGGCTCACTCACAGTTCCCAGCAGAGGAGGAGGAATGAAGGCCCCAGGCTCCTTCCAGTCCGGGCTGCCAGCTCAGGTGCGGCGCCTCCAGGGCTGCTTGTATAAGAAGGTGCAGCAGCCTGGCTGGAACTTCCCTCCCAGCGGCCAATGCTCCAGCAACAGGGGCGGGCTCCAGGCCAGCTCCACCTGCCTGGGCCTTCCCACCCTGGGCGGGGATGGTGACCGCACCCTGAAATCCCAGAGTCAGGACCACAGCCACGGGAAGAGTCCCAGAGTCAGGATCACAGCCACGGGAAGAGTTTCAGAGTCCCCTTTATTGCACTGGCTTTGGCCTGGCTTCCCAGGGCTCCCTGAGTGGCCTCTTTAGGGGAGGGGAGGAGTCATCCCTGCTTACCTCCCCTGTCTCTCTCTCTCCCCTCTCAGAAGGGTTTGCTTCTGCCCTCTCCTGGGCAGCAAGAGAACAGGAGATGCCCCTCTCCTGGGACATCAACTCTTCCACAGCAGGGCTGGGCACACAGGATGCTCAGAAGAAGGAGCACATGCCTGCCTTCGGCTTGTACTGTTCTTGCCGAGGGGAACATGGTGGCCAATCCTAAAGGCTGAAACTGAACCTGGTGGCCAGGGTGGGGCTTTGGGTCAGGGGGCCTGGAACTGTCCTGGACACAGCCACTTCCTGGCTGTGTAAGCTTCATCCTGTCACTAAACCTCCCTGAACCTCTGTATTCAGGGCAAATGGAGGTGTCCATGCCTGCCTTCCAAGCTGCTGGGAGCTTAACACTGGGTATAAGCCTTTGAGCAAGAGCCCACAGGATTCTTAGCCCCTTTGGGACTGCGTCTTGCCACACTTTGTCCACAGTGTCCAGAACAGTGACCAGCCCACCCCAAGTGCTCAATATGTGCGACTAGAGTGCATGGGGAGTGGCAAGGCTGTAAAACACCATCCACGGCAGGAGCCCCTCTGTTCTGGGGGCCCCTGGCCCTGCCCGGTAGCCTGCCCTAAGCCCTGAGCTGCTGCCTGACAGACGGGTGTCCCCATACACTCCCCAGTGCCCCCATGGCATGCCATCCCCACATCCTGCCCCCTCTGTTCTGCACCCACTTTCTTCTGAGATCCCTTCTCAGCAACGACCTCCTCCCCATCTTCAGGCTCCCCATCTCCTGCCCACCCACCTGAACGTGGGGACCACGTTTCCATCCATGACCTACACCCCCCTCTGGCCACACTGTGTCTCTCCTCCTGCCCGTTGTCCACACGCTCAAATTGCACACTCACTTCTCTCTTGACCACTGCCCTCTGCCTTCAGCACCCCCCGACCAGCTGAACTTCTAGTGGCCACTTCGGATAAGTGTCATATGGCCTTTCTCTCACGTGACCTTCCTGTGCGTCCTTCTTCTGGCCACTTCTTGGCCTCTGAGCCAGCACTCTCACGCTTCTCTTCCCTTTGTCTGGCACCTAAATCCAGGCGGCCCCAGCTTTTCTCCACCCCGCTCCTCCCCAAGTCATCCCCTCCTCAGTAAGCAGCACCACTGTCTGCCCACGAGTGCCAGCCGGGAATCTAAAACTCAACCCGATTTCCCTCCCACCTCCCTCGGCCCCCAGGCCCTGCCCATCCACCTCCCAAACCTCTGTTACCACCACATGCCCACGAGACCACCAAGAGCTTCGGCCGTGCTTGAAGCCCTGGCCACAAGGATTTTTTTCTCAGTCCCACTCCTGTCTCTGCTAAAAGCCTCACAGCGGCTGCAGGATAATGTGCACATTCTTGGCAAGCGCCCATGAGGCCCTGCCCGGGTGGGTACCCACTCCCAACCCCATGCTCCACTCTGAGCCCCGGCCCCATGTCTTCTCTTGCTGGCCTCCTATCCAAGTGGGTGAGTCCCCTAGGACCGTGGCTGTGCCTCAGTCCTCTCTAGATCCAAAGGCTTACCAGGGCTTGGCAGGTATTTAGCTAGTTCATGCCTAATGAACAAGTGAATGGGCCTGGAGGGTCATGGTGAGTAAATGCCACCTGGGACAACTAAGAGCAGGGGTGGGGTTCCCTTGGAGGGCAGGAGCAACTCCCTACCCTGGACTTTGATGGGGGTGGAGCACCAGGGAGACCCACAGCTGCCTCTTGAATAAAGCTCCGTGCAGGGAATGTGGTTTTATTGCACCCATCGCACAGGGAAGGAAACAGGACCAGAGATGCAAGGTGACTTGTGGAGGTCACACAGTGAATTAGGGCCACAAGCGGGGCCAGGGAGCTGCCTGTCTCTGGCCAATGTCCTAGCTCCCCCCTGGGTAAGTCCCCTACCCCCATCACCGGTGCCCCTCCCCCCAGATGCCACTGCAACTGGGAACCTGCTGGGAGCTGGAGGAAGGATGGGCAGAGGGGCCACCAGGCAGGCGCTCTGGCAGCGGGGGTGATCCGTCTTCTCAGGAGATGTCAGGACCTGGGCAATCTCCTTCCTCTTTTGTCCTGGGGCCTTGGGTGTTGGCCCTTGGGCGTACCTATAGAGCCCTGGCTCATAGGTAAAGGGCTGCCACACCTCTGACCTCCTCAACACACACTCTCTGTGCACTCTGTCTGAGCCAGACCCTGGGCCAGATGCGAGGTTCAAAGAGCAAGGCCATTCCCCCACCTCCAGGGACTCCGTTCAGATGGGCAGGCACCCTCCCACCGTCACCAGGACAGAGAATGTGGAGAGGCCCGGAAGTGCGCCACCGGGAGCCTGCGCAGGAAACGGCGGGGTGCTGCGAGGGAAGAGCGCTGGGATCCAACCACCCATCCCAGAGAAGCTGCCTGGCCGGCTGGCAGGGGCGCGAGACAGGAACCCGCCGCGGTGCCCAGCCCCGCCCGCCGGATGCCGTTCTCCACTCTGGCCACAAGGCGGCGGGCTGCCGCTGCAGAAGCCCGAGGGAAGGCGGCGGAGACCCAGGGAAGCCAAACGAGGACGACCCAGTCTGGGTGGACTCCCTGCTGCTGCCAAGCGCTTCGAAGCCTTACCTCGTTTAAGGCTCACAACCCTAATCCTTAAGTATTGTGCTTACACCAGAGGACGCTGGGCCTGGGGGAGCGTCCTCGCGTGTAAGTGGCTGTCAGCAGCTGGCAGGTGACCCAGCAGAGTCCAGTTCCCCTTTCCCTAGTCTCAAAACCTGAGCTCTGCATTGTAACCAGAGGGGCAGAGGGAAGACCCAGCAGCGGGCCTGCGGAGGGGCGTCTCCTTCGTCTGGGCATCCCAGACTCAGTCCTGGCACACGGTGGGCATCAATGTTCGTAGTAATGACATCAGGTACAGCGAAAGAAATCAGGGGCTCCCAAGGTTCAGAGGTCATCTGTCTACCCCCTCCCTTTGGGCTGAAGAACAAACCGAGACCCTGAGAGAGGAAGGGAACTGCCTCTAGATCATCACACGGCCGGTGGCAGATTGCAGAACGGTTCTAGGCATCCTTTTTTCCCCTCGAGCTGCCCCTCCTTGAAAAGTTCCTAAAGTTCAAAATGTCAGGGTCGCCCAGAGTGTTCTGAGGATGTAAGACGTGCTCTATTTTCGATTTCCCGGATTAACACAACTGGACTCTGAAGAGGGGGGAAAAACAACCTCACTTAACCGGACGTCTTTCTGAAACAAACGCATCAAGAGTTCTTTAAAAAAAGGAACTGAAATGCTGGAAGCACCCTGAAAGGGAAGCAGACGCCTGACTTTCACATCCACCCTCTCAGCTGACCCCAGGATCCTGGGAGACTGGCAAGGCGGTTGAGCAGGGGCAGGCCAGCAACCCCCCGTTCTGTGCCCAGATGCGCTTCGGAATACGCAACAGCTGGGACTTGGAAAGATAATATGGGGCACACACCTGCTATAGGTTATATAACCTCCCAGCAGGGCTTGGGGCAGCAGCAGACCATCGAGCTCATTTCCTTTTCTGCAGCGAAACATGAATATTTACACAAGTGCGATAAATAAAGACCATCAGCAGCCTCACATCAGTTCAAGCGCAATTTTGCCACCAATCGGATTACGAAAAACCTCTGGGCTTTCAGGGAACTTTGGGAATTGCTGATGAGGGACTGGGGACCTGCACCGCTCGTTTCGCGGTTGGGGAGAGGGCGCTCATCCGCAGTCTTCAGACAGAGGTGGGCGTCGTGCCCGACACTGAGCGGAGCGGGTCTCCTCGCGACCCGGCTCCGTGCGGACGCGGTCGCCAGCGCGCGTCCCTGCCTCCGAGTCCCCCCGTCCCCGCTCCCGGGGTGGTACCTGCTCCGCGCTCTCCTCCCGCGGCGGGCCGCGCACGTCCTGGATGACCTCGTAGACGTTCTCTGAGTCGCTGCGCGCCAGGGGCCGCGGGCATACCCAGGAGCCCGCCACGCTGCAGGCCTTGAAGCTGCCGCTGCTTCCTAGGAGGCCGCAGGGAGGCGAGAGGGCGGCGCGCGCCAGGTCGTCCAGGGACTGCGCGGGCCGCACGGGCGCCGCGGGCCGCAGGTACAGGCAGGCGGGCAGGCCGGGCGCCAGGCTGCTGCGCTGAGTCGCGGCGCCGCGTTGCGCAGGGCCGCACAAGGAGCTGGCTCGGCCTCGGGGCTCCGCCGGGGCGCCGTCGGGGCCCGCGGCCGCTGCTGCGCTCACAAACCGGTAGTCATAGGCCAGCGGCTCGGGGGCCGCGGGGCCTGGGTGGGGACCTGGCGGCGGGGCGGCGGCAGGGTTGCCCAGCGCGGGCAGCTCGCGCACGTACTGCGCGGGTAGGTAGAAGGGGCGGCCACCAGGCTCACGCCGCACGTGCCACCAGTGCTCGGTGCTGCGCCGCAGCAGCCGGTAGCGCTCATTGGGCCGGATGGCCACGCGGCGCCCGTCCTTGCCGGTGTACTCGAAGGGGTGCTCCACCAGCACGTACACGTCCCCCTCCACGTCCGCCGCCATCGCAGCCGCGGCGTTTTCCTGCAGGCAACAAGAAGGAGGGCCGCGGAGGTCAAGACCACCTAGCCCGGGATAGCCCTGCACTCGGGGACAGACTTAGGTTCGAGTCCCGATCCTGCACTCGCCGTTCGCCTTCGGGCCTCAGTTTTCCCATCTCTAAAATGGCAACTTGCATAAAATCACATCTAAGGCTTCCATTCTTACACTCAGTGCTGGAATTAGGACAACCCCTTCGTTCCGTGGGGTTGATTATAAGATTTGGCCCTTGTTGGCCGGGCGCGGTGGCTCAAGCCTGTAATCCCAGCACTTTGGGAGGCCGAGATGGGCGGATCACGAGGTCAGGAGATCGTGACCATCCTGGCTAACACGGTGAAACCCCGTCTCTACTAAGAAATACAAAAAATAGCCGGGCGAGGTGGCGGGCGCCTGTAGTCCCAGCTACTCGGGAGGCTGAGGCCGGAGAATGGCGTGAACCCGGGAGGCGGAGCTTGCAGTGAGCTGAGATCCGGCCACTGCACTCCAGCCTGGGCGACAGCGCGAGACTCCGTCTCAAAAAAAAAAAAAGATTTGGCCCTTGCTTCAGTCCTGCGGTGGGGAGATTGTGAGTAGTCTTGGTCCAAATCGACTACGAGGGAAGCCTTGGCTTTAAAACAAGGGGTGATTGCCTGCTGTAAGGTTGACTCCACGCTTGCTTAATAGTTGACTGAGCCTTATTTTTCCCGTCAGTTAAGTAGGAAGAACACCCCATTTACTGCCGCTACCCGGCCCTGTCCCACCTGGACGCCTCCCGCCCTCAGAGAATCCACAGAGGGTCTGGTAGCACTGCCTCCCTCCAGGAGCTTGCGCCCCGACCCCCTGGTCAGAGTTGGGATGCGGGCTCTGCAGGGCGCCCAGCGAACAGCTCTACCTGGGGGCTGTCCCTGCCCCGCTTAGTCCAAGGGCCTTGATGTAGAGGCCTCTGCTGCCAATGCGGGGGAACCGGTTCTCTCGGTTTCTCTTTCCTTCCCCAGCTGCATCACCGCAGACGTGAGCCCGAGCCCGGCCCGCCCAGCCCGGCCCGCACCGCCCCCTGCTCTCTGGCTCTCACGCCGCCTCCTGAGAAAGGCCCTGCCCCTGCGGCCTGCCCACCTGCCCTGTGACCTCTACAGTGTCCCCACGAGAGTGGCTCCTGGAGAATGCACTCTGAGACAGTGACTATCAGTGCGGAGTCCCAGAGCAGGGCCCCCCAAAGCTCTCTGGAGTGGTGGGCACATGCCCCGCTCCCGCCCCGGCTCCCGGGTGTCAGGGATGGGGGACAGCCTAACTAAATCTGCCTGCGCCCCTCCACCAAAGCCATGAGTCGGTGGTCTTCTCCGGAAGTGCAAGGCCCCTCCAAACTCCCACACTGACCACACTTCCTCCTGCCCCCTAAGCTGGCCGGGACCCGGGGCCAGGAGACCGCCGCTTGCCGAGGCAGAGGGACCGAAGGAGCAGGGTCCAACCGGGGCCTCTGCAGGGCTCCTTCGCCACTTTGTCAAGCGTTCCTCGACGAGGAAAGGGAGTAAAGTGAGTCACTAAGCTAATTGGGCCCTGGAGGCGGGGTCATCGAGCTGCCCAGGGCTGAGCCAACAAACCCCAAGGAGGACACTCCCCCAGCGCCCCTTCCCCCTGGACCCCGCAGCGCACTCACGTCGGCTGGGCGGGCCTCAGGGAGCCCATGGGCTGGGTGGGCGGAGCCGGCGGTGGCAGCAGGTTAGGCCCCTACCATCGCCCTGGGCGGGGTTTCCAGGGGCGAGGCCGGAGAGGCTGCGCGGAACCGGAGCTGGCAAATGGAGCAAAGAGGGACAGGGACGCTAAGGAGTGCTGTCACCGATACCCAAAGCAGCCGTGTCTGGGCGGGGCGAGGAGGAGCCTGAATGCCTCTGCTGAGGACCTCGGGGGGCATTGGGACGAGGCCCAGAGCAGAAGGCCGGGACCTGGAGCTGCGACGGCTGCGTCTGAAGGGGCACTGGCGGGTCGCGAGTGGAGCCCAAGGAGGGTGGGACCGCCCCTGCTCCGCCTTCCCCCTCCCCCCCTCCCCCCCAGATTGCTGTCTCGGAGTCCCTGCGTCCCTCCTGTGCGCGGCTCTGGGAATGCCGGGCTGGGGCTGGTTGTCTCGTGCGGGCGTTCCCGTTCCCGGGGAGGTCATTGGCACCCTGAATCACCCACTGCGAGCCCTTCCAACAGGATTGCAGACCCGCCCGCTCCGGGCCCACCTCCTCCCTCACCAGGGCCTTTCCCGACGCAGCCCGGCCAGGCCTGGAAAAACTCCGAGCGGGATTCCCAGCACAGGGACGCCCACTGGAGCTCAGTGTCTCGGGCTGGATAAGAAGGGGACCCGGCCTCGGTTCCTTCCCCGACCCTGGGGAAACACAGAGAAGGGGAGGGATTGGGGGAGCAGGGAGGATCCCTGGAGCGCGAGAGCGCACCAGGAGCCAGGAGGTCCCCTGCATCCACTGCCCAAGCTACAGCGGCGTCAACGCCTGGGTCGGCGCTGGGAGCCTGGGCCTGCTCCCCTCCCGCCCCCAGATGGAGGGCAGCCCTTCGCCTACCTTCTCCTCCCCGTGGGATGCGGCCCGCGCAGCTCCCGCCCCAGCACGGAGACAAGGGGAGCAGGCGCGCGGAGCTACCGGGTGCGGACCCGCCACCTGCCGCACCCTTCCCTCCCCCACCCTGCCCCTTTCCCTACCCCCACCCCACCTCCCACCCCAAACCCCGCTCGGCGCCCCACTCCTGACCCTGCTTGCCCGGGCACCTCGGGGCGTCCGCTCGCCGGCCTCGCCTCCACTTGCCCCGGCAGGCGCGCGTGGGCTCGGCGTCCCGCGCTCCCTCCTCGACCGCGCGACTCCCGCGCTGCCGGGTTTCCTGTTCAACAATATAACCAGGGAGGCACCGGCGGAGAGCGCCCGGCAGAACTTCCTCCCGGACTGGGGCTGGGCTGCGGTTGCGAGAGACAATCCCCGGTGTCCTGGCTTCCTGTCCCCTCTGGGCCGGGCCAGCGCCTGACGAGCGAAGACGCCATCCCCTCCCCTGCACTTCCCGGGATCCTGGGCCACACCTGGCTGTCTCCAGGGAGGAAGAGGCCGCGGGGCTGAGACGGTGGGACTGGGGAGGGCGGGAGCCTCCCCCGTAGCTTCTCCTGGCCAGATTGCCCTCCCACCATCCCCCACCCCCTCTTGATCCTTGTGGGTTAGGGGGGCCACCCTCCAATCCGTCCACAGGGTAAGCTCAGAACCACCTCCAGGAGTCCAGCCCCAGGGTCCTCCGCCTTGGGGGTTTTCTGTTTGGGAATTTTCTGCCTCTCTGGACAAGCAGCCTCGCCCTGATCTGAGCCTGCACTTACTCCAGACGTTACAAGCCACAGCCCCAGCAGATCCCCCGCCCTCAGGGGCCCCAAGGAACAGTTGTGCCTGTGGACCTGGCTGTGTGTGCCAGGAGCTGGCTGATTCAGGCCAGTGTTCTGGGAGGAAGAGGGGCCCGCACCCCAGGCCATGGCCCCTCTTGACACCACCTCCTGGGGGTCCAGGGTTGGGTGGGAAGCTGAATCTGGCCAGGCTCATTCTGGAACTCCCTTACCTCTATATCTTTGCCTCTGCTAGGCATTGCCCACCCGTGAGTCCCCACTTCCTCTGAGAATCTCAGTGTGTCTGAGGCTTGGTGGCACCTTGGGACCCTCCAGGGTAGGCACACAGCAGAACTTGGCATTGGTCTTTGGTGCCTGACATGCTTAGAAAATATCTTCTCTCCCTCCCTACCTTTTAGGTGCCTCCCCACCTGCAGCACAGCCAGGCAGCGCTGGCACTGGCGATGGTCTTTGGTGGGATCAGGCTGGTATGATGCCCCACTCTGCTGCTTGGCGGCTGGTAGGCCTTGGGAGCTCTGCCTTATCTCTGCAGCTCAGTTTTCTTTCCTATCAACGGGATAGTAACACCCACTTCGCTGGATTATTGCGAGGATTAAATGAGGTCCACTAAGCAGTGCTTACCACGTGCCCAGCGCACACAATGTATCAGCTATTTTTTTTTTTTAAGACGGAGTCTCACCGTCGCCCAGGCTGGAGTGCAGCAGCGCAATCTCCGCTCACTGCAACCTCCGCCTCCGGGTTCAAGTGGTTCTCCTGCCTCAGCTTCCTCAGTAGCTGGGATTACAGGCATGCACCATCATGCCCAGCTAATTTTTGCATTTTTGTAGAGACGGGGTTTCACCATGTTGGCCAGGCTGGTCTTGAACTCCTGACCTTGGATGATCCAACCTCCTCAGCCTCCCAAAATGCTGGGATTACAGGTGTGAGCCACCATGCCCGGCTATATCAGCTATTATGACTACTTATATTATGTGATAAACTCTTGGGGGTTGGATTGGAATCTCCAAACCGCCCATCCTCCTTCAGGCAGAAGAGGAGAAGGGGAAGTCCCAGCTACTCGGGAGGCTGAGGCAGGAGCATCGCTTGAACCCGGGAAGTGGAGGCTGCAGTGAGCCAAGATCACGCCACTGCACTCCAGCCTGGGCATCAGAGTGAGACTCTGTATCAAAAAAAAAAAAAAAAAAGGAGGGGAGAAAGGGATACAGGTACCCTCAGAGGCGCTTTGCTGAGGCTGGAGAGGGCCTGAGCCCACTGGCAGGGCAGCACCAGGTCACATGCCATGGCCCTCCACTGGGCCTCCCTCCCTCAGTTTCTCTTCTCTGGGCCTACCATCTACTGTCCTGGAGGGAGGTGAGGCCCTTGGGGGAAGGTAGGGCACCTAGATGGGCAGAGGGTGCCAGCTTGTAATCTGAAAAGGACCTTCAAGGACAGGAAATCACAGACCTGAATGTTGTCTGTTTCCATCCCATTTTACTGCAACCTGATTTCCCTGAGAATTAGTCTGTTTCCTGCTCCTGTTGTTAAAATGGACAGCAGTGTGGGCCTCCCCTTGGAGGGATCCCCTGGGCTTCTCCTGGAACTTCTGAGGAAGGTCAGCAGCCAAGTAAAAGTCATTTTGAGCCCTAAAACCATGAGCCCTGAATAGGGGACTCTGCTTAAATAACCCATCTTTCCTGAGCCCCAGCTCTCCTTTATTTCTCCTCTGAGAAATGTCCCCTGTATCCTGAGGTTTCACATGATCCAGTGTCAAGGGTCTGTGCTTTGACATTTAAGTCACAGGAAAAGAAGCCACCGGCATGGGATCAGCTTGAGTTGTTATACAAGGGTGAGTACACCTCCCCAGAGACCCTGACTGCTGGGCTTGGCAAGGTGGCTTTCTTACTCTCTTCTCCCTGCCCACTCCTGCCATGCAAGCCCTCTGCCTACAAGTGTTTGTCACGGACCTCCCAAGCCTTCCCCTGTGCCAGGGACTAACAGGAGGGTGGGGGCCCCTGACAGATGGTAACGATGGCTGGTGGTCTCCTCCTCGGCAGTGGCAGTGTTAGAATTCAGAAGCCAGACCAGTGATGAGAAAGATCAGGTCTTTACTGCAAAATCATTCAAAACTCACACGGCAGCAATTCCTTCAATACATTGCAAAGACTCCTCAGGGCCAGAGCCCTGCTCACTAGGAACAGTGTATTGCATAAAATAACATTTTAAAATAGTGTGGGCACTACCTTTCTGCGGGAGGGGAGGCAGGAAGAGTCAACGCATCAGAAAGCACTGGCAGCTTCTGGGGAATGGGCCCCTCAGGGCCTCAACCCTGCTGCCTCCAAGGGCACCTTCAAAGAGAATCCTCACAGGCCCAAGCCCTCCTCAGGCCAGGCTCCTGCCCACTCAGGCATGGGGCAATGAGGGCTCTGACTACGCCGGGCTTGTGGTGGAGCGTTAATGTGGGCCATGGCGGTGCATAAACCCAGCTCCTGGCTTAGGAGGCGTTGGCGTCCGGGCACAGGTGTGCGCCATGACCGGGAGAAGCTGTGCGCAGCCTCCACCTGCCTGCCACCACCGCCTCTGTTCTGATGCACAGGGATCCAGCTCCAAGGCTGGGTGGGTGACTCAGCAGCTGATCGCCCCCAGGGAAGGGTGGAGGTGGGCTCATCTCTGACAGTGACATGCGGATCTCCACCTGAGGCCTCAGACTCCAAGCTGAGCGCAGGTAAGACAGCTAGGACTGAGGGCCTGCTGGGTCCAGGAGAGGTGGAGGATGGCGACAGAGAGACCAGCAAACCCACATTTCCCCAAAGCCTGGAGGGTCTGAACATCGCTTTGAAAACAATTCCAGGCTCCCACCCCAGCCTCAAGGCCCCTTCAAAGGCAGTCCTGCTCCGGGGAAGTTCTTCAGTCTCCAGTGTCCTGGCTGGGCAAGTTCAGTGATGCTGTGGGAATTCATGGCTTTGTGAGGCGGCAGCTGCATCCACAGGGCAGCTCCCCGGCACGCCCCGCACAGCTTAGGGCAAAGGACCAGGTCACTTCTCCACGGTGCAGGGCATGGCTGCCTGCCCTCTCCGGGGTCCTGCCTATCTGTGCCCTGGCAGGGGTTAGTCAGGCAGAGTGTGACCCCAGGCACCCACCAAGGTGGGCCTGGAGCATCTGCAGCAGCGCCCCTATCTGTAGAGGGGTGAGGAGGGCACGGGGATAGGGGGTGGGCAAGACGGTGACCCTCCCTAAACCGAGGAGGGCTCAAAGTGCTGACAGTGCTGGTTTCCAGTCATTTCTCCTTCTCCTAATGGGGCCAAGGCCCCCAGCTAGAGAAGAGCTAGGGGCTCTGACGCTGAGAAAGGGGTGTGCTCAGCAGGCGAGACGCACTGGGGTGAGGAGTAAAGAGGAGACGGAGAGGAAGCGGGGTCACCAGGACTGGCCCTGCCCTGCTGAGGGGCGGTTTGGCACTGGCAGTGAGGGCCAAGGAAAGGCACTGGGTGGGCCCACAGGCCCTGTCCCAGCAGTGGCCTGCCCGCCAGCCACCCGCTGCCTCTAGGCCAGGCCTGAGTGGCTCCTGTGCACCCACTGGGGGTGAGAATGTCTTGATTTCTTGGGTGACTTGCGTAGGATCAAGAATAAAAAAATACTTTCTGTTGAAATATGAATGGGAAAAACCCACCTTAAAAAACTAGACCTTTTAATCAGGAATGTGGAATTGAAAATGCTCCCCAAGCCTCCTTTCCACAGTGTTTGGGCAGCCCTAACAGAGGTGCCGGGACGCTGGTGAGCCAGGGCCTGGTGAGTGAAAGGCCCTGTCTGCCCGGAGACAGGGAGCATCTGGCGGTGGCCACGCCTCCTGCAGCAGAGGGGTGGTGAGGGGGCCAGGGGACATCACAGGGGCTTCCTGGGCTTTCTCTGGAAGGCCGGTGCTCTGGTCACATCTGAGGGTCTTCCTGACAAGGGGACACAGCTGTGACACGGTGAGTATCCTGGGCTGATGGCAAACCCAGCTGGGATGGCTGAGCCACACTCACCCCCGGCCTTCAGAACGGGGTCAGCAGATGGGCATCAGGCGAAAACATTCTGTTCCTGGTATTTGCGCCGGCGGGCACAGCGGGGGCAGCCCTTCTTCACCACAGCCTGGCAGCTCTGGTGGAAGACGGTCTTGCACTCGGCACACCTGGGGAGAGAGCAGCACGCCTGCTGGTGCTGGCTGGGCTGGAGGTTGCCCTGTGGCCACGCTGGCCAGCGCTTTTGACCAGAAGCCATGATACGGCTGTGACGTACTGTGTAACCCATGCATGCACACTGTACCTCTCCATTCCGGAACAGGAGATTCTCAAAACAGTGCTTACCCATATGTCACACAATGCACACTGATATTCTCTGTCCTACTACATTTTTTTATAAATGCTGCTTGAGAGTCATTAAAGATTTCTTGCCTGTATTTAAAAAACATTTACTTATTTTATTTATTTTTCAGAGTCTTGCTCTGTTGCCCAGGCTGGAGTGTAGTGGCATGAAATCGGCTCACTGCAACCTGTGCCCCCCAGATTCAAGTGATTCCCCTGCCTCAGCCTCCCAAGTAGCTGGGATTACAGGTGCCCACCACCACACCTGGCTTATTTTTGTGTTTTTAGTGGAGACGAGGTTTCATCATGTTGGCCAGGCTGGTCTCGAACTCCTGACCTCAAGGGATTCACCTGCCTCGGCCTCCCAAAGTGCTCGGATTACAGGCGTGAGCCACCACGCCCGGCCAAGATGGTATAATTTTAAAAACTCAGCCCCAGGCCCATTCAGGGCTGAATCCCGGCCAGTGGACACCAACAGAAAAAGAACTAATGTTCCCAGTTCAGTTTTCCACTCCCACATGGGTTGCAGGAAGTCTGGACAAATTTTTCCATTGAGAGGTTGCTGATAATGAGCAATAACTGGAACAAGAGTGATCATTTCAGCAACAGAGGCAGTGGCAGGTACCACCCACCAGGTGCCCACTTTGTGCCTGGTCTCATGCCAACAGTGCAGGGCACTAACTCATACAATCCTCCTCAACCCATGCATACACTGTGGCTCCAGCAGGCTCCACTCAGAGAGCCGGCAGCCACCTCTAGGAAGACAGATGGTTCTGTAGAGGCAGAGGAGTCCTGGGAAAGCTTGTCTTGTCTCCTGAGCTGGACCAGAGCTGGCCATGACTGCCCAGGGCATGGGCCGTCCCAAACAACTGCACCATCCCTTGGCACGGCACAAAGCCGATGTTCAATACGCTCCTGCCCATAGAACGAGGCCTTCTGCCCTGAGTGCTTGGGCCAGGCTGTGGGTGTGGGGAAGGGTGGGGCTGGGAGACAGCTGGCTGGGTGTCCCACATACCTGACTGTGGTGTCAAACTCAAAGGGGAAGATGATGTCGTGGTGCCGGCAGATCTGGCAGATGAAGCCGCGCTGGGTGCACAGGTCGCAGTGGTAGACGTGCTGGGAGGCGAATTCAATCAGGGCCTTGAGGAATCCTTCATACACCCCGTCTGCAATCTGCGGAGGGCAAGTAGGAATCCTTCATACACCCTGTCTGCCATCTGTGGGGGGCTGGTAAACTGAGGCCCCAGGCCTTTCAAGCACCTGCACTGAGGCGCCATGGCACCCTGCCTGGAGAACTTCTACCCCCAGTTTCCACGTGGGCAAGAAAAGCAAACCTCCCTGAGTCAGGCTGAGCAGAGCCAGCGTCCAGCCCGTGGGCACTGAGGTCACTCAGGGCTAATGGGATTGACAGATGAGACCCGACTCCACTGCACCCGCCCCCTGGAGAAAGGAGTATTCCAAACTCTCTTCCTGTGATCCTGGGGTTGCTGGAGTGCTTGCTTATTCCAGGGTGCGGGGGGTATCCGTCCCTGCCCAGGAAGCCGGGGCAGCAGGGCAACCCACCCTGAGCTGCAGAAAAGCTGCAGACTGCTGTCTTCAGTAAACTACAGACACCTCCCCTCCCATCTTCCCTGCTGACTTCTCCGGGAATGAGGCCTCTCTGGAGGTCTGGGCGAGGGAAGCATCAAACTCTCACCTGCTGGAGGTCAGCAACACTGAACCTATGCGGAGACTCCAAGAGATAATCCCTGTGGTTGAGCCTTCAAACAAAACACAAGCGATTCTTTAGAGAGGTTTCCAAGACCCGGGCCAACCTGTGTTGTTTGTTTTCATTCCCCTGGCACTGCTCACCAGACAGCCACCTGCCGCCTGGGCGGGGCAGGGGCTAGAAGCGTAATTCGGCCTGCCTGGGCTTGGGGCCTGGTCTTCAAGGTAACTAGCTGGTGGGACCTTGGGCAAGTTACTCAACCTCTCTGAACCTTGGGTTTCCCTCTCTGGGAAATGGAGTTGTCTGGATTAAGTAACTTATTTAAAGCATTTGACTTGGTGCCGAGCTCACAGTAAACACGTAATTAATCATAAGGAGGAGGATGGGTGCAGACACCTGGGACCCGGAACTGGGCTAAGAGCTTCATATGCATTCATTCATCTGATTCTCACAATAATCCTGTGAGGCTGGTACTATCACAATCCCAACTGAGAAGAGGAAATAGGTTAAATCACTTGCCTGAGGTCACACAGCTAGTAGGCAGGAGAGCTGGAGTTTGAACATAGGGGCCTGGCTCCAGAGCCTGCCCCCTGTCTACCTGGCAAATGCCTAGAGATGAAGGTTGTTGTCATTATTGCCACCATTACATACCAGGGACAGTGCTGGGGACAGTAATGCACAGGATATGGCCTCTGCCCTCCTGTTTGGCCCCTGGTTTGGCTGAGGGACAGACATTAAAGTGTCTGGTTTCCGTGCTACACGAGAGCAACTGAGACGTGTCCTAAGTACAGCAGATCCCATTTCAGAGGTGGCCGGGGCAGCAGAGAACAAGGGCTCAGCCGCCAATGCAGCTCTAGTTTCCACTACACCAACGGGAGGGATCCAGGGGGCCCCATCCTGAGAGATGGAGAGGAAACACCTGCAGAAAGTTCCCTGGTACAAAACCTGCCTGGCCTGGCTGTGTGTGTTTGGGTGGGTACTGGCGGTGGGAGGTTACTCCAAGTCAGAGGATGCTTGGGAACCTGCCCCAGGATGCCCCAGACATCTGGGGACAGGATGGTGCCAGCCCTGGGTCTGGGCCTCCCGGGTGCAAGCTGTGGAGCATCTGGAATGGGGGCTTGGCCTTGTCCCAGCTGGTGGCCTCAGCTGTGGTCCAGGGGAGCCCAAACCGGGGTGGAGACAGTAAGTCCCACTAAGCAGCCATATAGGCCAAGATGCCAACTGGCCCCTCAGTTTACCAAGCTGGTGTCCCCAGTAAACTTCCTGCACTCTAGGAAGGGAAGCTGCCATTTGTCACCAAGAAAACATGGGACACAGCAGGCTGGGGGGACACAGGTTGGCCCTGAGCTAGCAGGAGTGTGGTCTGATCTGGATGGAGAATTAGCTTTGCCATCCGTCCTCTGACCACAGTCGTGGAAGCTCTAGGAGCCCCTGTGCTCTGGGCCCGTCACCCTCTCAGCAAGGACTTGCAACTGGCTTCTCCGCAGTGCTCAGTCAAGGCCAGAGGGGAGAGGGTGCTGGCCCAGGGGTGAGAGGCCACTTCCCCTCCTGGCCTCCAGGAAAGAAATTCTCGTGCACTGGGGCACAGCCAGGCCTACTTGGGGCCTCAGTTTCTTCACCCACACAATGAGGAGAACCCTCTTTGTCCTCTGGTGTGAGACTGGGAAAGAGACCACAGGAATCTGGAGGGCTCTCTAGGAGACAGGAAAATGAGGGGAGAGGTCAAATCTTAGCTCCTGGAACCGATGAAGTGATGGGGAAGGAGAGGGCCAGGCAAGGGCTGGAAGATCGGGGGGACATGGGTGGGGGCCTGGGTGCCACCTGTCTCCTAAGCCCCGACTCCTCCTCGGCCCACCGCTCCCTGGCCGTTGGGAAGGACACCGAGGTCTGGTGGGTGGACAGGGTGTGGGGCATTTCTGTGATGGCTTCCTCCCAAGGCTGGAGAGGACACTCTCAGGGGCTTCTCTGGCTCTTGGAGTCAGGTCCTAGGTCTGCTGGAGAGAATCCAGCCAGGCAGCTGCCATTAGTGCAGGACAGCTCCTCCCTGACTCCCTGACATCCAAGACCTGCCCATGCCTCAGCCCTCTCCTCCTCTCAACCTTCCCTCTGGCTGACTTGGTCCAGGCCCAGCTCCCTGGAGTTAATTACTAACACCAGCTGCCACCCAGGGCTGTCCCCTTCACCAACTGCACTCTGCTGGGGCCAGAATGGTCTTTTTGTGTGTTTGTTTTGTTTTTGAGACGGAGTCTCACTCTGTCTCCCAGCCTTGAGTGCAGTGGCATGATCTTGGCTCACTGCAACCTCTGCCTCCTGGGTTCAAGTGATTCTCCTGCCTCACCCTCCCTATTAGCTGGGATCACAGGCACCTGCCACCACGCCCGGCTAATTTTGGAATTTTAGTAGAGACGAAGTTTCGCTATGTTGGCCAGGCTGGTCTCAAACTCCTGACCTCAGGTGATCCACCCGCCTTGGCCTCCCAAAGTGCTGGGATTACAGGCGTGAGCCACCGCACCTGGTCTTTTCAGAGTGGTCTTTTCTAAGCCGTTGATCAGAAGTGACAGCCCCGTGCTCAAAACCCTTCAGTGGTTCCCCACAAGTAGCAGATCAAATCCGAAGGCCTCGAGGGCCCTTTGAGTTCTGGCCCCCGTACCCGAAGCCCAGCTGCCCAGAGCCCCTCAAGGGCGTCAGTGAGCTGTGCTCCGGCCAGCCTCTTGCTACCGGTCCCTTAGCCAGGAAAGCCAGGTTCTCCACTGCCCTTTCTACTCTTTCCTCATTTTCCTAAACCCCAGTTTAACAGACACACAATGCCACTGGTGTTGTGGCAACACGTGTGTGTGGATGGAGTGAGGTGCAGAAGCAGGTGGTGGTGGGCTCTGAGAAGGGCTGACTGAACGGTCTGCTTTATTCCCTTTCATAAATGCCCCTCGCTTGCAACACTGACCTTTGTAAAGAAGAAAAACATTTTAGAAGAAAAAAGGAAAAGAACTCTGCGTGCCCTCAGCTCAGATGCCATCTCCTCTGGAAGCTCCTTTGGCCCCTGCCAAGGCTGGATCAGGTGCCCTCAGGGCACACACGATGCTGACCCAGGGCCATCTGTGGCCCAGACTCTGGGTCCCTCACGCAGCCCTCACCACTACTCAGGAGGCCACAGGAATGGAGGAATCACTGGCCCATTTTATAGATGGGAAAGCTGGACCCAGAGAAGTGAAGCAACTTTCCTGATGCACAGTGGCTGAGGGGCTCCCATACTGTTTCCCCTGCCCCACGCTGTTTCCATGGGACTTCCACAGGCACGGGAAGCAGGCTGGACACATAGCAGGAGTACAGCGCTGCTGCCCAGGGACGGAGCAGGAGGGCTAGGGAGAGAGACAGGGCTGCCCCTGGTGCCCGCAGAGACAGGTCAGTAAAGCCAATGAACAAACTCTCCCAGCAGGGTGGGGACGGGTGAATGGGGCCCACAACCCACCCCACAGGCACCTGGTCTACACAGGTCTGCAGGCCTGTGCAGGTACCTGGCTCCTTGACCAAGGAGGGTGATGAGGCCCCGCCTGACCCCAGAGATTTCAGCATCTGGTTAGGTGGGCAGGAGGACAGTCTCTCTGGACTCTCAGAGGTGGGGAATGAGTCAGCGCTTGCCAAGAGGTGGAGACCCAGTCACCCGCGGATGCTTGGGATGGGCAGAGCCTCCAGGGGTGAAGCCTTCTAGGGTCTAGGGTCCCACATGGTGGTCTGCGGAGGGCTTTCTGTTCTTTCAGGCCCTGCAGAGGAGACCAAGGCTCAGCTGGCAGCTGTGGGGCCAGATTCTCCTCTTTGCCTAGGGGAGAGCCCCCTGCAGCACCCCTTGAGAGCCCCTGGGGACCTGCTCGGGGCACACCCTGGTCCTGAGGAGGCCCGGCGCTGGGAGCACTGCAGCCAGGATGGAAGAGGCAGTCTTCAGAGAGGCGCTCTCTAGGCTGGCCCTGTGGCGAGGGAAGGCCAGACGGAGGAACCTGGAGGGGCTTGTGAGCTGGTCCCTGCCCCCAGAAACCCAGAAGAGGCGGACTCGAAGCCCATGCTGGGCAGTAGGCACCGGCAGCCTGCTCCACATGAGGTCTGCCCTCCTGAGGGTGCCGGGAGAGCACAGCCCTGGGAAGACTGTGGCCTGGGCTGTGACCTGAGGACTAGGAAGCATTTATGACAGGAATGGAGAGACCTGAGTCCCTGTTGAAGCCCGGCATCACATCCCATTCCTGAGCACCAAAGGCCCCAGGCCCTTGGTGAGAGAAGCTTCCTGAAGGGCATCCTGAGGGCCCTGCCCCGATCACGTCTTCTTTGGAGAATTTCAGGAGGGAAGCTGGCATGGGCCAGATGACTGGCTGGGATGGGGAAGAGGTGGGAACATCTGGCCCTCGCCTGCCTCTCGCCACACTCCCCACTTCCCTCCTCACCATAGCCAAAGTTCTCCCTGGGCTATCCACCGACGGTGCCTTTGTTCATGGCCTGTGCGTGCTATTCCTTCTGTCGAACGTTCTTTCCCCCTTTGCTTCTCCTTTCTAATTCTTCCTAATTTTTCAGGTCTCACCTTAGAAGTCACTTCCTCCAGGAAGTCTTTTCTGCTTTGTCCTCCTCTCATCTGGGCTGGATGTCAAGCCTCTGTGGTTCCAGGACATCCTGCCTCTCACCCTCACCCCCGGATGGAGTTGCTGACTTTCCCACCAGTCTTCCCTGTCAGGTCGGAGGCTTCCGGTGGGTCGGCCCTGGCTCTGTCCTGCTCAGTGTTGGAGCCCACATGCCTCGCCAGGTGTACAGTGCTTAGCATGTTCTCAGTCCATGTTTTTGAGTAAACAAATGGTTACATGAACAAAACCCCAAAATCACCCCCAAAAGATGTGATTATTTCCCAGGCCCAGTGGGAAGATCTCTGCCCAGGTTTCCTCCAGGTGGACGCCTTGCCCTGGGCTGTGCCCCTGTGTGTGTCCGTGTGCACGAGTGCCTGCATGTGTGTACATTTGTGCACATGTGCATGTGTGTGCATGTCTATGCATTTGTGTGTACATTTATGTGTGTGTGTGCACGTGTGTCTGTGTGTACATGTACATATATGTATGTGTGTTTATGTGCACACACACGCATGCACGTAGAGGTTGCTCACCTCTTGCTGAGCTCCTTCAGGGCGCCGCTCCGGCACAGGCCCAGGTAATCCCCCAGGAGCTTCAGCTGCTCCCGGCTCCTCCCAATGAGGTGCATCCGCTCCACATGCTCGTACAGAGACGCGTTCACCATCTGCAGGTTGATGAGGGGCTGGGCCCGGATCTGTGTCAGAAACTTCAGGGCCTGCCTGCAGATCTGGGGGTGCCACCAGGCATTGGGGATGGGAAGGAATGGCTGTTCAGTGAGCACTGCCCGGCCAGGTGCCACATGACCTGCTCACTTACCTGAGAGGCTATCTTCATTTTACAGATGGGAAATGGAGGCTCAAGGAGATCAGGAGATTTGGCTAGGGTCACCCAGCTTGTAAATGGTACAGTCAAGCTCTGAACCCAGTTTATCTGACTCCCAAACCCGCTCTCCCTTTAATGGCAAGGGTCGCTGCCCCTCCCCAACCATGCTGAGATGAGGGAGGGACTGCTCTGGTAACGCCCCCTCCCTCTGGGCCTCACAGATCCTTCCCACTCTTTCCTGTCCTCCCGGCCCCTATTTCCCCCCACTAAAGGAAACAGGCACTCCCCTCTGTGCCCTGACTCAGGAACCAGGTGACGGGCTGAGTCAGGCTCCAGCCACAGGAAGCTACAGATCAGACACAGCTCACCAACAGGCTTCCCTGAGCTCCCTCGGCTCACACCAGCAGCAGCACCGGGGCTCCGTGTGCAGCTGAGTGATCCGTCTCAGTCTCTACCGGCTGACAGGGTGTTGAAGGTTCTACCCTTGGCCCTGATCCTAATACCAACGCCAGTAATCAAGCGCCTACTATTTGCAAAACACTGGGCCAGGAACTTGACCACATTCTCCCTTCATCCTCAGAACAACCCGTTAGGGAGGGTGTCCCTGTCCCCGTTTTCTAGATGAGGAAACGGAGGCTTAGAGGAGCTAACGTGGCTTATACAACCTGCCCGCAGAACTTGTCAGGTCTGAGCTGAGGTGTCATCTCTGAACACCAGGCTGCTGCACTAACCAGAAGCCCCCTCCCCTGCAGTGGCCTCGCTGCCTTGTAAGGACGGAGGAGCTGTTCTCCACAGCCGACAAGTGCATAGTGGTTAGAAGTCTGGCTTTGGCCTGGCTCAGATCTTTAACCTCTTAACTAGTCCTTTCATTACATGTTTTATTTCTGGTGGCTTTGTTTTTGATACTATTATAAATGATTATCTTTTAAAATAGTAATTTGTTTGCTGATATATAGAAATGAAATTGATTTATTTGACTGTCGTATCCAGCAACGTTTTCAAATTCTAATAAATCGTGTAGGCAAAAAAAAAGTCTGGCTTCGGAGTCAGAACAGAATTGAATCCTGCCTCCACCACTTTATACCTATATGACCTGGTGAAACTTATCCCGCTCTGTGACTCAGTTTCCTCTTCTGTAAAATGGGGAAAATGAGAGCAACTAAGGCTCACCGGTTTGGGGCCTTTTCGTTCGCTGCTGCTGCTTTAGCGCTGAGGCCCGGCGCTCGGCAGGATGTCAGCCCAGGACTGAGGCTTCTTTCTCATGGGATTCTTTTTTTTTTCTTTTTTTTTTTGCGACGGAGTCTTGCTCTGTCGCCCAGGCTGGAGTGCAGTGGCGCGATCTCCACTCACTGCAAACTCCGCCTCCCGGGTTCAAGCCATTCTCCTGCCTCAGCCTCCCGTGTAGCTGGGACTACAGGCGTCCGCCACTACGCCTGGCTAATTTTTGTATTTTTAGTAGAGACAGCGTTTCACCGTGTTAGTCAGGATTGTCTCGATCTCCTGACCTCGTGATCCACCCGTCTCGGCCTCTCAAAGTGCTGGGATTACAGGCATGAGCCACCGCGCCCGGCCCATGGGATTATTTTGAATTCAGATTAAGAGGTATTCCAGGAGAGCTCCTGGCACAGGGCCTGGCAGGTGGCACATCCCCAGTAAATGTGAGCTGCTATCAGTTGCTGTGTGAGTGCCTGGTGTGGCCCTGTTGTCCCCTTGAGGGCTGGGGTACAAAACTGGCCCTCAGGAGACCTGCCCCTGTATCTGGGGGCTGAGGGGACCTCTGACGTCTTGTCTCCCAGCTCCACCAGCATCTCTCACCTCCCCCAGCAATGGACAACCTCTTATTTTCCCGTAGCCTGGGGCCCTGAGGTACCAGCCCCCTAACTTAGGGAGAGCCCAATGGCAAACTCCTGGTGACTTGGGTCAAGCTGCTTTTCTCTAACCCTAACTCAGTTCTTCCCATTACTTGGCCCCAGGCCTTGGGTGAGGCTCTGATGAAATAACACACAGGAATGTGTGCGGAACACTGCCAAGCACTGCAGATGGGCAGGGGCTTTGTGCTCCCCAGCGACTGTTCCTATCCTGTGGGAATGGAGGAGGCAGACAGAGAGAAGCCTCACCCCTGGGCTGACATCCTGTCAGTGCCAGCCAGGCCTCAGCACAAGTGGGTCAGCCAGAACAGCAACGGTGAACAATAAGGCCCCAAACCCGTGGGACAGCCACTTTCTATCTTGAATTTCCCTGTCTTTCCTAGGCCAGCAATTTTTGAGAGGGAGAGCAAGCTGAGGATTTCCTGCTCTCAGATATGCCTAGAGAAGGATTGTACTTTTCTAGTTAGAGGAGGAAGTGGCACAAGGATGAGGGCAGTGAATAGGGAGATGGCTCAATGGAAGTATCAGGGTCCTGTAAATAGTGAACGTGTTTTATGATCAAAGGGCTGTTTGCATTTTTTGGTGATTTTGAGGTTTAATTTCCTCTATATGGTTAGATATTTAACACTGAGAGCAGGGGTGGGGACAAGGCAAACAACAAAAAAATCAAAATGAAGCCAACTTCTGCGGGGTTTCCCCAACCCAGGGAGGTGGAGGCTGAGGTAGAACTGACTGAAAGAGTCACCTTCCCTGCACTGTGATGAAGACACAGCCACACATCAGGACTACATAGCTGGCAGGCCCTGACTCTCCAGAGAAGCAAACAGCTTCTTCCTTGTGTTTGTGTCTGTCTTAGTAGAAATCTGTGCCTTTGGAAGAAAACCAAATTTGCACCCCTTGAGGCAGACACTGACCAAGTGAATTAGGTAGATGGGTGGGTGAATAGGCAGGAGGTGTGATAGGCCCCAGGGAGAGAAAGGACACTGTTCTAACTGACAGGCACATACTGCCACACCTGCCCTCCCAACAGCCCCGCCACAGACACTGTTGTTAATCCTCCTTTTACAGATGAGGAAACTGAAGCTAATTTGCTCATGGTAACATAGCTAGGAAAGTGGCTAAGTTCAGCTGGAGAAAAGGAAAATTCTGAAAGACTTTAGGGTACATCTTATTCAAAAGCATTTGGTGAACATAAAAAATTAGTATTATACCCAAGGTATAATATTAAGTGAACCAAGCTTCTTATAAAGCAGTATGAGTCCTGTCTGATCCCAACTTTATAAAAAATAGATGCATATGTCAATAAATGCACAGAAAAGGGTATACCCCAAAATGTTAATAATGGTGACCTCTGGGTTATGGCACAGAATTTTGATTGGTCTTTGGGCTTTTCTGTAATTTTAAAATGTTAAACAATAACCATGTATTATCTTAATAATGGGGGGAGCCACAGAAAAAGTGCTTTTCAAAACATGAAATAAATATGCCCATGCAGGGCCTGCAGGGGGGGGTGCAGTCATCTGGGCCTCATAGGGTTGGCAAAGGCAAGGATGACTGCTCCAAGGTATAGCCAGCTCGCTGGCCAGCCCATCTACCTATCCACCTATGTATTCACCCATCCACCCAGCCATATACCCACCGTCTACCCATCTACCCATTCACCTACCCATCTACCCATCTACCTACCCATCCACCTACCCACCAACCCATCCACTCATCCACCTAACCATTTACCCATTTGCCTACCGAGGCACCCATCCACCTACCTATCCACCCATTCACCAATCTACCCAACTACCTACCCATCAACCCATCCACCATTCACCTACCCATCCATGTAGCCACCTGCTCATCCACCTACCTACCTACCGTACATCCACCTAACCATCCACCTAGCCACCTGCTCATTCACCTACCTACCTGCCCACCCACCTAGCCATGCATCCATCTACCTATCTAATCTATTCTATCTATTCTATCTATTCTTTCTATCTATCTATCTATCTATCTATCTATCTATCTATCTATCTATCTATTATCTATCTATCTATTATCTATCTATCTATCTATCTATCTATCTATCTATCTATCTATCTATCTAACATTTATGTGCTGGTACCTTAAGCAGTTATGTTTGTTGCTGCAGGAAACCATCCTCAGACTCCCTCCTGGGGACCAAGACAGCCACCGACGGAGCTCTGCCCAGGGCTGTGGACAGGCACCAAGCTTTTCTCTTGGTTAGCTTCCCCACATCAGTGCCTGAACCAGTGACCCCGGTTTCCCTTGTATAGAGGAGCCAAACTCCTCTAAACAGATGAACAGCAGCAGCAAAGAGGAGTGAACACCCCTCTGTCGCTCAGCAGCCCTGAGTGGCTCTGACAGGCTGGGCTCGAGACTTACCGGGCGCTTGGTGAGGTCCCAGTTGTGGATGATCCTGGCCGGAATCACTGAGGCATCGTCTTGGTGGCAGATGTCACAGTAATAGAGGCCAGAGAAGGCACAGAGCTTGGGTCGTACAAAGGAGAAGCCGATCTGCCGGGAGCAGCCTGGGGAGATGGGTAGAGAGTGAGTGGTGTGGCCAGAGTCAGCTCCTAGTAACTTGGGAGCTGCTGTGGTGGAAAGGATCTGCTAATTTTGTTTTTAAAGGTAGGTACAAACACAAGAATAACCACTCGTATTTCCACCACTCAGAACTCCCCTACTAATTAATCTTTACAACAACACACTGTAAGAATATCATTATTTTACAGCTGAAGAAATGGATGCTCAGAGAGGTTAGGAAATCTGTCTGGTCACATAGTGAAGTGGCGTGGCTGGCATTCAGATCTGGGTTTGGCTGGTTCCAGAGCCTGCGTTCTGCTCCATTACTCCTTGCTGCCTGTGTCCAGTGTCCCCACTGCTGGCTTGGCAATGCCAGCCTCCTCTAGGTCCACCCCTCCACTCGGGCCCCAGAATGGAAGCAGCAGAGTAAGGGCTCTGGCGAGCAGCGAAGTAGCTGGGGGGCAGGGACTGGGGTCGGGGATGGCAACAGGGAGTGGATGGGCAGCCAGCAGGGGGCAGGGGAGTCTGCACAGTGTTGGATGCCTCGGGACTGTGGGGCAGGACTGGCTTCGGCCCCCTTGTTGGAGGCATCTCCACAGCTGGGGCCAGTGGGAATGGGAGTGGGGTGTGCCCTGGGCAAAAAGCAGAGGCCCTGACTCAAATTCTGAACATGTGTCGACTCCTCCAGGGGCAGGCAGAAGGGTCCCCAGGGCCTTGAGACCATAGGGCGGGCTGTGCTGCTCACCAGCTGCCTCACCCTGACCTTCATCTAATTTCTCAAAGTTCCATTTGAGTGACTGTAAAATTCAGTTACTACCAGCTATTTTGTGGGGTTATTACAAAGCTTAAATGAGACAAGGTTCTGCAAGTACCCTGCAAATTATGAAATACAACCCAGATGCCAGTGGTTGGTGTCTGCCACTGAGCCATGCCTGCTGGGTAGAAAGGAAACCCAAACTCCCTGGTGGCACAGTCCCACCTGCTGGTGGGTGGCAGCCATGGTGAGAGTTACCCCCGCAGCATTCACACCCACAGGCGAGAAAGCCTTTCTCGCAAGCCCTGGAGTCCCGGCCCCCTCAGAGCCTGGCCCCACAGGCTGAAGAGCAAAGTGTGAGTGCTGGGGCAGGAGGCGGAGAGGCCAAGTGAGGCTTGCAGGTGTTCTCTGCAGGAAGCTCTGTTCTGCCTAGCTTCTCCCATCCTCCCGGGGCCAACCGCAGACCACTTCCTTTCAGAAGCTTGAAGCAGGCTTCCCTCCAGTCCGCGCCAACAGGACAGCTCCCAAACCAAGGCTCAGCTTCTTGCTCTGGCCTTCTGCAGCAGGGCAACCCCCTCACAGGTCACCTGAGGGTCCCATGGTGATAGGACACCATCTGCCCCGGATGGTGGGGGGAGTGGGAGGAGCTAACAATGGAATGTGGGCAGGGGGATGTCACGCACCCCTGAATAATACCCTAGAGGGATGCCCTCTAGGGTCCTGCCTATGAGCACAGGCTCTGGGGCCTGACCGTCAAGGTCCCAATTCTGCCTCTGGCCAGGCATGGTTGCTGACACCTGTAATCCCAGCACTGTGGGAGGCTGAAGCAGGAGGATCACTTGAGCCTAGGAGTTCAAGACCAGCTTAAGCAACATGGGGAGACCCCATCTCTACTAAAACGAACAAACAAATAAAAAAGGAAAATTCTGCCTCTGCCACTTACTAGCTGTCTGAACTTAGCGGCAGACACCAACCAGGTACTTACCAGCTCTGTGCTTCAGTGTCCTCCCCTATCAAAAGAGATGATGATAGTAGCACCTATCTCTACAGGGTTGTTATGAGACTTAAATGAGATAATCCAAATAAAGCAGCTGGCCCAGTACCCAGCACAGAAGTATTAGACTTGATGATGAGGAAGACATAGCAGATGTACTGACTTGGAATAACATCCACAGTGTAGGAAAAAACCAAGTTGCAGAACAATATATCCAGCGTTCATCACAGCAGCCAAGAGCCCCGTGTGCCCCCTTTAAATGTAAATGAATTTAAATGGAAAATTCAATTGCTTAACCACACTAGCCACACTTTAAGCACCTGGTAGCACCATGTGTCTCACAGCTATGGCACTGGACACACAGATCTAGGAAATTTTTATCACCACAGAGAGTTCTACTGGACAGCACTGAATAGCACCAGCCCATTTTTGTAATTTAAAAAAAAGGGTGTACACTTATAAAAGCAGCAGAAATATGTGGAAGCATACCACGCCCCTGCTCTGAAAGAACAGGATAGTAGAGCAAGAAGAAAATCAAGTGGGCTGGGACTCCCTGAGCAGCGCAGTGAGCAGCCAGCCTGCTGCCCATCAGTGGGAGGTGGCAGGAGAGGGATGGGTGAGCAGGGCCAACCGCCTATGAGCGGAGCACTGACCCCAGCGGGGGCTGGGGAGGAGCAGAAGCTGCAGGGCAAGCCTGATCTGTGGCCTCATCCCTAGGGGAAGGATGGGGGCATTTGCAGGGAGGCAGAAGGGTGGGGAGCCTAAATCAGGAATCCGCAGGAGGCGGAGTGAGGCTGGCAGGCTGGAGGTGGCAGCAGAGCAAGTTGGCACCTGCGCAGAAGCAGCCTTGGGAGTCAAGGCCTTTCTCCATGGGGATGGCCACCAGGTACTGCAGCAGGAAGCCGTTTTCCCGGGTGGCAAATTTCAGAACCTCCTGACAGTTTTCATCCAGGCTCCCGCCCAGGGTCACCGCCTCCTCGGCCGTCTCCAAGTAGGATGCCAGGACTTTGCGGACCAGGTCCCTCCACAGGGCAGCCTCCTCCGCGTTCCCGGCCTGCAGCTTCAGGACGGCCTTGGCCGTGATGATTTTGAAGAAGGACGGGCCCCCAAGGCTCGTGTCTGGCAGGATGTCCCGGATGGTCTCCACGCCATGGCTGTCACTCAGCATCTTCTCATTGTTCCTGATGCGGAAACATTTCAGAGCCTCCAAGGACAGGGAAAAGATATAGGGCATCCAGGTCCTGTCCATGTACAAGTACAGCAGGGACTCCTTGATGGCATCTGGCTCTGGAACCTGGGCGGACGACCAGTCAAACTGCGTGCCCTGGAGGGCCGTGGGCTCCGACAGCAGGTCTGAGGGAGAGGGGCAGCCCTGGGGCGCCTCAGGGGGGTCCTCAGGCTGGTCTGGGTACTGCACGTTCACCCACTCATCCTCCTGCTGAGGCCGGACCTTTTGCAGGGCCTCCCGCACCCGGTCCAGCCAGTCCTCGGCTTCATCCTGGGAGGAGGCGCGCAGGGCCAGCTTCTTGCCAGAGAAGACCAGCTCGAAGCGCCCGTCACTGTGGGCCGGCCCCACAGACTCACAGCGCAGCAGGGAGCAGTTCTCCACACAGGTGCGCTCCTCGTTGCTCAGGTAGAGGCGGAACTCCAGCGGGGAGAGCTCACAGAAGAGCTCCTTCCAGATGCCCATTGCCCCCCGCCGCTCCACGGTACCTAGCTTCATGAGACCCCGGAACGGGTTGGACAGTCCTGGAGGCAGAGGCAAAAAGCACATTAGTTGGCGGGCCTGTCTCTGTCCTGCCCAAGGCAGCATCTGCTGCCTGATGCCCTGCAGTGCGTGTGGACAGTGACTGTCCCCAGAACACAGGCCAGCCACGGGGCACTATCACATGGGACCCTGAAAGCTGGATAGGAACATCTCCATTTGCACCTCCACTGCTGCTCTTGCGTCCTGTATTTCACTGAGAAAATAAAAGCACCCAAAAGATCACCTCCACACGCCCTGTTCCCTACACCCACGCCCTCCCTTCTGTTGCCAGGGATGAACCAAGTGTGCTTCTTTCTGTATGAGGCCAAACCCTCCATTTGTGCAGGAGGTCTCTCCTTCCGCAACCTACTCAAGGACAAGGAGCAGTCCCTCTCTCCTCTGTTGCTGTTTCCTTGCTTCTCTATTGGGTGACTCCCGTTGGCACACATGCACGCTGTCGTTTCTCCCATCTTTAGAAACACGTCTCGTCTCCACAAAAATTAGCCAAGTGTGGTGGTGGGTGCCTGTACTCCCAGCTACTTGGGAGGCTGAGGCAGGAGAATAGCTTGAACCCAGGAGGCGGAGGTTGCAGTGAGCCGAGATCGTGCCACTGCACTCCAGCCTGGGCGACAGAGTGAGACTCCGTCTCAAAGAAAAAAAAAAAAAAGGAAGCACTGGAGGACCTTAAACAAATAGCAGATCCTCCAGCCTGGCCAACATAGTGAAACACCATCTCTATTAAAATTGCAAAAATTGGCCGGGCGCAGGGGCTCACGCCTGTAATCCCAGCATTTTAGGAGGCCGAGGCGGGCAGATCACCGGAGGTCAGGAGTTCGAGACCAGCCGGACCAACACGGAGAAACCCCATCTCTACTAAAAATACAAAATGAGCCGGGCGTGGTGGCTCATGCCTGTAATCTCAGCTACTCGGGTGGCTGAGGCAGACGAATTGCTTGAACCTGGGAAGTGGAGGTTGTGGTGAGCTGAGATCACATCATTGCACTCCAGCCTGGGTAACAAGAGCGAAACTCTGCCTCAAAAAAAAAAACAAAAATGCAAAAATTAGCTGGGCATGGTGGCAGGTGCCTGTAATCCCAGCTACTTGGGAGGCTGAGACAGGAGAATTGCTTGAAGCCAGGAGGCTGAGGTTGCAGTGAGCAGAGATCACGCCACTGCACTCCAGCCTGGATGACAAAGGGAGACTCCATCTCAAAACAGATAAACAAACAAAACAAATAGCAGATTTGATTAAGCTCCCCCAGAGCTGTTACATAAACCAACTACTGAGGGTAAACAGCTTTGGAAGGACCAGTTAAAACACCTGGGGCTTCATGGAGCCGGATGTGCTCTGAGCTATAGGTGGAATTAAGAGTTTTCTATAATCATAAATTGCATAGTTTTCAGGGAAAATATTTTCCTCTTTGACTGGTGAAACAGTATTTTTGTCCTCTGTAGGCAGTTTTGAGACAATATAGTACTTTTCCTGAAATGCTTCCCTGAATGAGCACGATTATGATGGCATTCTGGAATGAGGTTTTATAGTACTTGTGGGAACACACTACCTCTTTAGCAATGGAAAACGGGACTTCAGAGCTGCCTTCTGAAAGACCTGGTCCCTGCAGATGGGACCCACCCGGGACCCTCCTAGTAACCTACCCATCTGTCTCCGGTGTACCACCCGGAAGCTCTTATGCCCCTGGGATGGGGCTGCCTGGGCTTGCCTTCTTCCTGGGGAAGGTACACACGCTTGGTCTAATGCCCCTAGGGAGCAGCTTTTTCTTGGTCCTTGAGAAAAATGCCTGTGGAGACCAGGCCTTGACTCTGGAGTCCCCCTGGAAGAAGCTATTGGGTGGTCTGAAGCAATCTCCAGGGGTTGCTCCTGGGAAGGCCGGTAAAAGTCATCTTCTGAGATCCAGCTCTTGTTTTTCTGTTGGGAAAGAAGACAGCAGTTGTTTGTTTTAAAGTTTTTCTGTTTTTTTGTTTTGAGACGGGGTCTCGCTGTGTTGCCCAGGCTGGAGTGCAATGGCGCAACCTCGGCTCACTGCAACCTCTGGCTCCTGGGTTCAAGCGATTCTCCTGCCTCAGCCTCCTGAGTAGCTAGGATTACAGGCGCCCACCACCATGCCCAGCTAATTTTTGTATTTTTAGTAGAGACAGGGTTTCACCATGTTGGCCAGGCTGATCTAGAACTCCTGACTTCAGGTGAGCCACCCACCTCAGCCTCCCAAAGTGCTGGGATTACAGGCATGAGCCACCATGCCCAGCCTGAAGTTTTTTGTTTGTTTTTTTTAAGTCTTTGTCTAGATATGGCTCATATATCATAAAATTAACCCGCTTAAAGTATGTAATTCGGCCAGCCATGGTGGCTCATACCTGTAACCGCAGCACTTTGGGAGGCCGAGGTCAGAGGATCACCTGAGCCCAGGAGTTTGAGACCAACCTGGGCAACATAGTGAGAACCTATCTCTACAAAAAATAACTAGCTGGGTGTGATGGCATACACCTGTAGTCTCAGCTACTGAGGAGGCTGAAGCAGGAGAATCACTTGAGCTGGGGAAGTCAAGGCTGCAGTGAGCCATGCAGCCTGGTCGCAGCCTAGGCAACAGAATGAGACCCCATCTCTAAAAAAAAAAATTAAACAGTGTCCAATTCAATCATTTTGGCTTAGTCACAGAGTTGTGCAATCATCGCCACCATCTAAGTTTAGCAAATTTTCCTCACCCAAAAAGGAAACCCTATACCCATTAGCCGTCATCCCCATTTCCCCTGGCCACTCTCAGCTCTAGGCACCCACTCATCTACTTTCAGCCCCTACACATCTGCCTGTTCTGGACATCTCATATAGATGGAACCTGCGACACGTGACCTTTTGTGCCTGGCTTCTTTCTCTTAGTGGAAGGTTTTCAAGGTGCATCCATGTTATATAAGCATGTATAAGTGTTCATTCCTTTTTATTGCCAAATAATATTCCATTGTCTGGATCCACCACATTTGGCTTACCCACTCATCGGCTGATAGACATTTGGGTTGTTTCTACTTTTTGTCTATTATGAATAGTGCTGCTATGATCACTTATACACAAGTTTTTGTGTCGACATGTTTCATTGTCTTGGGCATATACTTAGGAGTAGACTTGCTGGGTCATGTGTAACTCTATGTTTCCCTTCTTGAGGAACTACCAAGCTGTTTTCCAAAGTGGCTGCACCATTTTATATTCCCACCAGCAATGTATGAGGGTTCCAATTTCTCTCCTTGAGAAATATATTCAAATCCATCCAAATCTACTCAAATCCATTGTCTGTCTTAAAATGGGGCTTTTTGTTGTTGAGTTGTGTTGTGGGTTGAATTGTGACCCCCACAAAAGGACATGTTGAAACCCTACCCCCCAGTACCTCAGAATGTGACCTTTTTTGGAAATAGAGTCTTTGCAGAAGTAATTAGTTAAGATGAGGTCATGTTGGAGTAGAATGGGCTGTTCATCTCGTATGACTGATGTCCTTACAAGAGGAGGAGAAAAGCTACACGAAGACAGGAGAACACCAAGTGGAGACAGAGATACAGAGGATGAACGTGTGTGACAGCAGAGGGGAGACCGGAGTGACATGTCTACAAACCAAGGAATGCAAATGAGCGCCCGCAACGCCAACACCCAAAAGAAAGGCGGGAACAGATTCTTCCTTAGACTCTCCAGAAGGAGCCTCCAGAACTATCAGAGAATAAATATCAGGTTTTTTTTGTTTTTGAGACAGAGCCTCACTCTGTCACCCAGGCCGGAGTGCAGTGGTGCAATCTCAGCTCACTGCAACCTCCGCCTCCCAGGTTCAAGCAATTCTCCTGCCTCACCCTCATGAGTAGCTGGGATTACAGGTACCCGCCACCACGTCCAGCTAATTTTTGTATTTCTAGTAGAGACAAAGTTTCGCCATGTTGGCCAGGCTGGTCTTGAACTCCTGACCTCAGGTGATCCACTTGCCTCAGCCTTCCAAAGTGCTGGGATTATAGGCGTGAGCCACCGTGCCTGGCCTGTTTTGTTTTGAGGCAGGGTCTCACTCTTTGCCCAGGCTGGAGTACAGTGGCACAATCAGGGCTCATTGCAGCCTTGACTGCCCAGGCTCAAGCAATCCTCCTGCTTTAGCCCCACTGAGTAGCTGAGACTACAGGCAAGCACCAGCACGTCCAGCAAATTTGTTATATTTTTAGTAGAGATGGGGTTTCACCATGTTGGCCAGGCTGGTCTGGAACTCCTGGACTCAAGTGATCTGCCCACCTTTGCCTCTCAAAGTGCTGAGGTCACAGGCATGAGCCACCTGCCCAGCAATGTCTGTTGTTTTAAACCATCCTGTGTATGGTACTTTGTTATGGCGGCCCTAGGAACTAATACAAGTTGTAAGGTGCTTTATATATTCTGAATATGAGACCCTTATCAGATTTATGATTTGCAAATAATTTCTCCATTCTGTGAGATGTCATTTCACTTTCTGGATGGTGTGCCCTCTGGAGCACATAAGTTGTTAGTTTTGATGAAGTCTAGTTTATCTATTTTTGTTGTTGTTTATGCTTCTGGTGTTGTATCTTAAAAAATCATTGCCTAAGTCAGTATCACAAAGATTTACTTCTGTGTTTTCTGCCACGAGCTGTATAGTTTTAGCTCTTACATTTAGGTTTCTGATCCATTTCGGGTTAGTTTTGTGTAAGGTGTTAGGAAGGGGTGTTATTATTTTGCATGTGGGTATCCAGCTGTCCCAGCACGTAGGGTTTCTCAGCCCTGCTTTAGGGTTTGTCAGTCCTGCTTTTGGGTTGAGATGAGGGTGGCCTGGCGAGCAGGCCTCAGGGTCCTCATTGGCCACCTCTGCCTCTGCCGCCCACTTCTGTGCAGGCCCCTGCGACCCCAGGCAGCCAGGTCCTGCCCCTTCCCTTCGTTGTTCTCTTTTGAATCTGAAGCTGCTCACTGGCTGGGGGAGATGGGGTTGCAGGGAGCATCTGGGGTGAGTAGGCTTGTGGGAGTGGATTCCGGTTTCTTTTCTCCAGTACTTCAAATCCTCCCTGGCTTTCTGTGCCTCAACATGGAAGGGCAGAGGCAAGGAAGCTGGCTAGGCCACCCTAAGTGTCAGTGTACACAGAGGAAATGAGTCACACAGTGGGACCAGCCCCACTGTTTTGTTAAGTGCCACTAACCTCACCCTGACATCGCTATTTCCGGTCCCTGAATCCAGATTGTGCTCCCTGCTTTGTAAACAGGGAAGGGTTGCTTTGGACAGTTGGATCCATTCAGATGCTATACAACTCCTCAAGCCAAGGGTGGCAAGTTTTGACTCAGGCGACTTGGGGGGTGGCTCACAGAACTAGGTCCCCAGAGACTCCTCCATGGGGCCTTCAGAACTGGCAGGTGCTTCCCCCTGCCAGTGACAGATGATGTGTCGGTCAGGGCGGCCACTGGGGACCATCCACAACACTAGATTCTGAGCAAAGCCTGCCTAGGTCATCAAGACCTGGGAGACCTCCCTGAGGAAAACGGGTGGAAGAAAAAGCTCCCCGGCAACCATGTGGCTGTCCTGGCAGCCTCACATATACCTGGGAAGTTGTGTGATCTCCAGCCTCTGGCGGGAGAGGGCACTGTCCCTGAAGACTCAGCTCAGGAGACATCCATCACCTCCACCTGGAAGCTTCTCTCACCCTTCCCCAGCCTCCACCCCTTCCCACCCCCTAGCTGGGTTAGGGGATCCCACAATATTTTGTGCTTACCCTCATTCTAGCACCTATAAGGCTGTTTGGAATGGTTTTCTTGATATCTCCAGCAAGTGCCTGGCCCAGAGTCATACAAGATGAGGGTATAAATAATGACCATCCCAATGTCTTTAACATAAAATAACAAAGGTGGGTCAAGTGCACTGGAAGGAAGGAGACAAATATAAATTTTAAGATTGTGGACATTCAGGATGGGCATGATGGATTATGCCTGTAATCCCAGCACTTTGGGAGGCTGAGGTGAGAAAACTGCTTGAGACCAGAAGTTTGAGACCAGCCTGGCCAACATGGCAAAACCTTGTCTCTACTAAAAATACAAAAATTAGCTGGGCATTGTGGTGCATGCCTGTAATCTTAGCTACTCAGGAGGCTGAGGCACAAGAATTGCTTGAGCCTCGGAGGCAGGGGTTGCAGTGAGCCGAGATGGATAGAGCTATTGCACTCCCACCTGGGCAACAGAGCAAGAGTCTGTCTCAAAAAAAAAAAAAAAAGGTTTATGGACATTCACTGGGGAGGGCTTCTCTCTCCTTTGAGGAAAGAGACTGCTAGGAAATGTTCAGATACAGTCCACTGAGCACAGCTGCCAGGAAATGAAACTAGGGAACACCTTTTACTCTCTTAAGCAACTGGGAAAAACAGTGGAAACGTAGGTTCCTCAGAATTTCTGCACATGAGCCTGGACAGAGCTCTGAGGCTGTGTGCTCCTGGCCCCAGGTGGGTGGGGAGAGGGGAGAGGGTGTGAGAGAGAGTGCACGCACGAACATCATTGTTTCTCTCTTCTCTCCATTTTTTCTTTCAGAGATGGAGTCTTACTCTGTCGCCCAGGCTGGGTCGCAGTGGTATGATCTCAGCTCGCTGCAACCTTTGCCTCTCAGGTTCAAGTGATTCTCCTGCCTCAGCCTCCTGAGTAGCTGGGATAACAGGCTCCATCATGCCCGGCTAATTTTTGTATTTTTAGTACAGATGGGGTTTCACCATATTGGTCAGGCTGGTCTCAAACTCCTGACCTCAGGTGATCCACCTGCCTCAGCCTCCCAAAATGCTGGGATTACAGGCGTGAGCCACTGCACCTGGCCCCCTTCTCTCCCTTTTTCCCACCACCATCCTACAACCTGCTCACTCAGGCAGGGTCCATGTCTGGCCAGCACCCTGCCCTTTATAGTGGAATGAAACCATCACCGA